GTGCCATCCCTCACCTCGATCTGCCGATAGTCACACACAGCCTTGATGGGGATGGTGCTCCTCAGGGCGTGCTCGGGGTTGCGGGGCCGCAGCTGGACGATGCTTTTGGACCTTCCCACCAAGCTGGCCACGGAGCTCTTGGACTGGATCAGCTGCTCCTTCTCGTCCTGCCAGGGGGAAGGAGGACGGGCAGGTTGCTCCAGGCTGGGCTGGGGAGGGGTCTCCCGGGTATTTCAGCTCTCCCCCCACCCCAGCGCTGAGCAAACGCCTCGGGAGGGTCCTGCTGCCCTGGCAGGGTGGGAGGAGGGCTCAGGATTTGGGATGGACGCCAGTGCCACTCCCAGTGCCCTGCAAAGCCACATGCACACCTCCGGCTCTCCGGCTGGCAGGACGAGAGAAAGGTTTTCTTCCAAAAGGGGAAAAAAAAATAAAAGAGAACACGACATCCACCACCAAAACAAAGTCCCAGGAGCTGTGAGGGGCCAGCAGCAGGACCAGCACGAACGTTCAGCTGTGGGAGGAGAGCCCATGGAAGCATGCTCCCTTCTCTAAAGTGAAGGATGGAGTTCAAACCCATGGCTGGAATGGATCACGCGGCTAAAAAACATCTCGGGACACAGTGACCACACAGGTTTTGGGGAGAAATCTGCCAGCTGGAGGTCACTGATTCCTATAAATCAATCCCTGCTGGGTTTGGTGATGGCACCGACCCGGGGARGGGTGGAAAAGCTGCCCTGGAAATGTCCCTGGCAGCGGTGGAGACGTGTGCAGGTCACAGCTCGTGTGATCAGTGACAGCTCAGCCCGCCCTGGCTGCAGCAAAGCAAAAAAAAAAAAAAAAATTTATTTTTTTCCAAAAGAAAAGGATCCCAGAAATCCCAGAAAATGCTGTCCCTCATGCCCGGTATCTGGGGTTGGTTAGTGTGCTACGACGGTGGAGGAGAGTTCGATGGTTAAAAAAAAAGAAAAAGAAAATTAAATAAAAATAAAAGAATAAATGATTAAATAAACTACCTGTGCCTGTCCCGGGGGAGCATGATTGGAAGAAATACAACTTTAACTCATTAGGTAAGAAAGAGTGAAATAGCTGAGCTCGGGGCAGCTGCCCCAGGCTGGGGCTGGTGTTGTTTTTGGCTGCCCAGAACGGCCTCTCCCACCCCTGGTGACACCTGCCAGGCTCCCGATGTCCCCAAGGCTCCCAAATGGCCACTCAGGGGCCAGGCTGGCTTCTCCACATCCTGGTAACCCCGAGGTTGTGACAGCAGGGATGGGGGATCCTCCAAACCTCCAGGAGAGAGCACCCATCACACCCAGAGTGACCAGGACACGCCGGGGGTCAGAGCAAAGCCACCTCCTGTCCCTCCTCACCCCTCACCCCCACCCCAAATTCCCTCCCTGACCCCAGAGCAGCCACCATTTGCTCCTTGTGGGGGTTTTTA